ATGGACTGCCCTGCACTGGATGAGTTGTTTCCTCTTGCTCAAGGTGAGGCAGTTCAAGCTCTTCATCATTCTCTTCTGCTTCCGGGTTCGGGTTCGTCAGGATCGCCGGAGGTGAAGGTACCACGACAGTCGGAAGAATCGGTTGAGATGGCTGCGGCTGAGACGGCAAAGAAACATCACCCCCCAGTCGATTGAGTGCACTTGAGGACGAAATGGACTGTCTTTGCTTGTCGCGAGGCGGCAGTGGTAGATCTACTGACCTGTCTGGCGAGACACCTGGCGGTGCAGGTGGCATGGGATGATCGGGTCGATCATGCTGATCAGGCTGATCTGGAGGATTTTGAGGCGGACTCGTCCGGTAGAATCGGAGGTCTTGGATCTGGCATGGGATGGTCCGGTTCATCTGGTGGCTGCGTTTCGTCAGGCTGACGTGGTTCATCGGGCGAGTCCGTGGGACCCACCACAATCGGCATTGGCTTGATAGCTGGTGCATCCGAGAAGGAGTGATGAACGGAGGAAAGCATGACTGCATGCCACATCTTCGGGCTGTAATCCTCCCAGTTGCATTTTGGTGCAGGCAAGACCCAAATTCTATTCAGCTGATCTGGTCGCCACAACGCTATGTATGCATCGTCCGGAGATGATGTTATAGGCATGTTAATGCCAATTGTGTGGACATATGCCCTGCATGCATCGTACTGGGTGGATGAGATGCAAAGTTGTCTCAACTTCTTGCAACCGTTCCACAAGTCGTGACATCGCCGGTCATTTGGATCCGGTCGAAAAGTGTCGATTTCAGTGCCGGAGGGTGCTGCTTCATTGGATGTCCAGTGGATGAACATTCTTGTTAAATGGGAGTCTTGGATCTTAACAGCGTCGCTGCTGCTAGTCATGTTGAACTCCTTGTCAATGGCTTCCATTTCCTTCCTGAGAAGGTCAATCTGCTGATTGGTGAATGGCTCGAAGATGTCCTCGAGAAGGCGCACTTCGTTGTCAAGCGGTTTCACGTTCAGGTGACGCAGAATGATGTGCACCAGATCCTGACAGCACTGGTAAGGGTAAACCTGTGCCAGCTTTGTGCTGCTTCCGAAAGTGCCAGCTTTTCCTTCAAGGTGCTGATGCTGATGCTTTACCAAACTGGTAACATTCTTACACGTCCGAAGAGTCGGTCTCATTCCCTCGGGAGGTAAGCAATGCATCAAGCTCGTAGGCTTAAGACATCTGAGTTCTTGCTCATTCCTGTCAATCGTCAATTGATGTGGAGTTGCGACATCAAGCTGGATGAGATCTGCTGGTTGTCGTCCGAATGCAAGTTCCAAAGGGGTTGCACCCCCGTAGGTGACTGTTTGATTTCTGACAGTTGCAGCTGCCTTCACAAGTTGTCGGTATGTTACCTTCTTCAAGGTTGCAGGTGCCGTGCCTGCCTTGATGAAGTTGAGCATGGCTTCAGCTCGATTCGGCCATGGTGTGTTCGGTCCCACGAAGGGATTGGTAGAAATGTTTCCATGTTTCCGTCATGAAGGCTTGATCTCCAACAACTGATTTGGGCTGCAAGTGGTAGTTCCTGAGGACAGTGATGTTCTCCACTTCTTGTGTGGTTGTCACGCACTGCAGCGAGCAATGTCGTTGCTCCATCCAGGATGACAAAACAATGATATGTTCTCCGTTCCGAGGGGAACTTGACAGTGATCAATGAATGTCATGTCTCCAAATGTCTCCGCTCGAAGTCCACTAGTTTTGCTTCTGGATGGTTCTGCTGCTTGGCAAACTTCGCACTCACTTCGGATTTTGTCACATAAGTCATGGGTAGATTTCGGCAAGTGAAGAGCGCGGGTGCTGAATCGAAATTGGCAGGTAGTCATGTGATGATGCTGAAGGTGGGGCTTCTTCAACTCTTCGGGCTTTGACAATCGCTGGTGGATTCTGCCTAAGGCAAGCGGTAACGATGTCGGTTCGTCTGCGGATGGTGCAATAGGATCTGGCTCGATGGTCGACCGGCCTGTCTTGTTGATGATCCTGTCTGCTGCTGATCCTGGACCTTTCTTCATCTTTTTGCGGATTGTCTGCAAAAGTGAAAATGGTCTTACCTATCCACAGGTTGATGATTGGTTTGTTCGCCTGGGAAGTAAGTCTCCAATTGTCTTCTAGGATGTCTGGATCTCCGCCCTTAGATGCATCAATGATCTCTGTTGCACGTTCTTGGCTGATGTTGTCAGGATTGATTGGACATTCCTTCGCTCCTGTTGGTGTGAACAGCGCCTTGCGAGGCGTGATGTGCACACGGATGAGCTGCTTGTTCTTCTTGTCGAGTATCCAACGATCCTGCTTTAGAGACACACTGGTTTTCGGAGTTGCCGTGTCCTCGTTTGTCTCGGATGATTTGGATGCACAAACCGTTTCTCTCTTGGAGTAAAAGTAATCCTCGGAAGGAAACTTCATGCTGTTGTCATCATCGTAGAAACAACTTGTGAGTCCTTTTGCAGCAATCTCGATTTGTCACATTGAGGTGTGTGCTCAATGGTCATGTAGAGGTTCCGCATCTGGCGGATGCTGAGGAGGATCGGTGCAGTGCCTTGTTCAAGGATGTCGATGTTGGCACTGGCTGGAGGAGTTGTGTGATATTTAAACGCAAGGTCCAACTGACCTTAGCTGTCTTTCATGGGTTCGATGGCCTGAGTAAAACGCTGGATTGCATAGTTGCCAAAAGGCTCTGCTTTGTTGTGACGGACAGATTGCGTTCTGAAACTGTATCATCTTGGATCAGCTTCTTGTGGATGGCCTCTTTTTGTGCTGGATGTCTCGTGGGATGAGTACCAGCCTGATTCACTCCAATTCCATGATGGATCCCAATCTTGGTCTGTCCAACCGGCATAGGTAGGCATGGTGCAATCTGCTCATTGGCGGACTGCTCCTCCAAATTCTCCGAACGTTTTGGATTTTCCTTTGTCATGTCCGCCTTTTCCTTTGCCACTGTCATAGGATGGATAACCTTTGTTTCCATCATAGGGATACTGGAATTTTGATTTTCCTTTCTTCCCTTTCTTTCTTTGCCTTTTCCCCAATATGCCCGGTCGTAGGGATCCTGATTTTCGTTGGCCATATTGGCCTTCCCGCCGGAGCCACTTTTTCTGAAAGGATTGAAGCCACCTCGTTGGTGACTCCCCTTTTTGCTTCCTGATTTTCCTTTTCCTTTTCTCTTCTTAAGTCTGAAATTGCGCCCAGACACCTTCCTTGCATGAACGCATCATTCTCCTCCAAAACCCAAAAAGTATCTTCACCATTATTCGCCATGAATCCTTCAGCTCCATCTTCGTCTTCCACCCAGAAACCTTCTTCGCCTTCATACTCCCCTTGTTCTAGGATGTAGAAGGTGTTACTCCGATTTCCTCCTGGAGGTCGGATGGATGGATCTTGGATGGATGTGCTCGTTGTAATGAAGAGATCGTGGTACTGAGTCTTCATCACCTTGTAGGTGTAATTCTCGAGCGAGATGTTTCTCAAACACATTGCGCTGATCAGTCTTTCTCTCTGCCGATCTGACAACTCACTCTGGATGATGCAAAATGGCGCAATGAGATTGTCGCTGAGGGGAAATGCGTCCTCGCGTCTTGTCTGCATGCCGTTGAGGTACTGCCTGAGTACTTCTGGATTGCCTATGGACAGCAGATCTGGAGGCGTGGCTCTGACACCGGCGGCTTGCTGATGCGCGGCCATTCTTCTTGCAAACATCCAGGCTGCCTTCAATCTCATCATTCTGGAGAAGTCTGTATAAGTACAAGTTCCCTTCAGGAAGAACTTCTTCAGCGTGTTCTTGAAGTAGTTGACTCCTTCTTCAGGATCTTGCAAAAGGTCATTCTGGAGGCGTCTCTTCAGTGAAGCCATGGGATCGGCCTACACTTGAATAGGCTTCCATGAAGCCTTCTCCATCGGATGACATCTTGTTTGGATCTCTTGCGGAAAACCCGCTCCGCTACCACAAGTTGAGGCAGGGGTATCTTATCCCCGAAGGGAACCGATTCCTTGTGGTAGTGGCGGATCTTTATGTGGTGGCCCTGGATCTATTCCGGAGAGTTCCAAGTGTCAATGCTGATGGATTGATACTGGATGAGCCCTGGTAAACTGGGTGTTGTGGTTTATCCTGAAAGTGGTCTGCTTGAGGTGTGACATGAAAGGCCTTGAGCCAAAATGGTAACGTGTTGCATGGAGATCAATGGGTCCAGAAAACAAACACACACACACACACCCTCAAACAAAACAAATGCCCCAGCATAGACCCCAAATAGCGAAACATAAGCCCCCCTCGAAGAGCACACGGCTGTCAATTTCGCAAAAATGCGCCCGCACTAGCGTCCCAAAACAGCAGACCTCCAGCACCCCCAAACAGCACCCCAAAGCAGCACCAGCACCAGCACCCCAAACTGCATGCGCTGGCACCCTGCCATCAATCTTGCAAGAATGCACCTCACCAGCACCACAAATAGCTCCCCAAACAGCACTCCCGAACAGCATCTGCACCAGCACCCCAGCTGGCAAATCACCTTCCCCTCTTTTTTAGAAGTATTAGAAGCTAGAACCCCTTTCGCTGTCAGCTATCCGGGGGAAAGAGTGTCATATTCTTGACTCCCCATGAGGGACCCCCAAAATAGGATGCGGTTCTCCTTCAGCTTTCCGCTTACACCCACCCCAAAATAAACCCCCCCCAAAACCGTACTCCAAAAAATGGTAGCAGCCCCACGTCTTCCCCGGTGCGTGTTTTTCGAGGTACCCTTCTTCCCACTGACATGGCAACTGACAGGGGGTCCCTTCAAAAGCAAATTCATCTTCCAGGTACCTCCCCACAAGCGCCATGTTAGTTGGAGGAAGCCCTCCCACCAGCTAACATGGAAGTGGACCCCTGTAGAAAGACGATCCTCTTGGAAAGGGCCATTTTGGCACATCCATGTTCGTTGAAGGAAGGGGGCAAGCCGCTTCCCTTGGAAGCCGCACGGACCTCGGACCGCCTCCGGCTCCTTCGCCAGCGGCCAGCTGGGTGCAGGCGTGCACGCGGCCGCAGAGCAGGTGCGCCTTTGCACGGGCGGCGGCCGCCAGCTGCGGCGCCACACCCAGGCGCACCAACCTGCCACCGGCCGAAGGGCCGGGCTCCCTCGGGCAAAAAGGTGATGTTACATGCCCTTAAGAATATCCGCCTTGTCACAAACAGGGCTCCCTGTAACATCACCCATGTTGAAGGGAGGCTCACCTATGGGCAAAACAAATGATGCTTAAAACCACCAGAAAGGGAAATATAGGGACCCCTGCTGAAGGCAAGGCCAGCGAGGTGATGTTCAACCGCTTGTGGGCTTCTATGTTAGTTGGTGGGTACTTTCATTTGCCAATGCGCCCCCTGGAAAACATGAGAAAGTATGTCTACCAGTGATAGGTTCAGGGACAACGAAGCGTATTCTTGAGCGGTTTAAAACCAGCCTTCCAAGGGCAACATGCAAATCAACCAGCGAGCCGTCAATGAGAACAAGGTGTGGTTGTGGAAAATCTGAATGGACATAAATGGCATCTTGTTTGTGATGCTAAGTGGTTTGATTCCTATTCCTACATGTTTGTCACTTGGAAGGTGCTTCCCTTGGTGTGACAGAAGGTGGCACCGAACCCCAATCTTCTACAACTGTGGGAAAGAAAAGGCTTTTGGGCTTTGGGCATGCTTCTGGTCTTCGCTCCGTGGCGGTTTGCCCAACGGTCTTTGAAGAATATGCCAAACTACGCCGACCAGCGTGATACAAGCAAATGGAGCTGGGCAGTCTGGGCAGTCTGGCCTGCTCCACAGCGCTTCTGCTCGCTTCCAGTCCCCTTGGCTCCAAAAGGCCGCTGACTCTCAAGGCATTGCTTCGAGGCATGTGCCAAAGAGCCAGCCTTCAACAGCACCGTTTGGGATGGGGCGTGGCTATAATGTTAACCCCAATCCCTAGATTGTTCAACCCCAGTTTCTGCACGGGGTGGAACTTTCCCGATTTGCATGAGTTTGTGGGCTTTTCTGTGAGTTGATCTTAGAGCGACCCCCCTCCCAAAAAAAAGACAAACAAAAAAGGGTACCACTGAAGGCTTGATATTTGTAGTTAGTTCCTTTTCAAGGGCCCCCACTCCAAAATGAGTGAAGGAAGATCCCCCCTACCCCAAGCGGGCTCCAAATTCCATTCATCCAGTCTTTCCCAAAACCCAAAAATGGGGGTCGAAATCCGAAATCCCCCCTCCCATTCCATTTTGAAGGGGGATGAAGGACGCAGCACGATGTTGCTCCTGGGTTTTTCATGGTTATATGCGGATCCCTAAGAATGGAAACGGAAGCTTTCTCTACTGATCCCCCTACCTCAAGGAGAGGGGGGTGGGGGGGGTGGGTGGGGGGGAATTCGTGGGGCTGAAGGACGCACCCCTATGTTTCTCCTTTGTTTTTCCATGATTAAGAATAAAACTAAAACTTCCCCTACCCTCCCCCAGACTAACATGAAGCTCCCAGACCCCTTTGGAAGACTTGCTTCTATTTGCAGGATCGGCCTTCTGGGAGCTTCCATCTTCGTCTGAGGGGGTGGAGATCTCTGCGCCTTCCTTAGTTGCTTCCTCGGGCTTTTCCATGGTTTCCTGAAAAGATATTCCGATCAGAATGGATATTTCCATGGTTTCCATGGTTTCCATGGCTTCCTGGACAGAATGGAAATGGAAGCTTCCCCCCCTCTGCGCCTTCCTTCACTTTGGGCCGCGTCTCTGCGCTCCCCGGCCGCATCCACCAGCGCCGCCAGGGTCACGTGGCTGGGCCGCCAGCGCGGCGGCCCTTGCGCCGCCAGGGCCAAGAGCTCATCCACCGCGTCTGCCGCGCCCAGCTTCTCCCACCTTCGAACTCCTTCTCCATGGGGGGGGAGGTAGGTTTTTCTCGCTTTGGGCGCGCCTTTCAAGGGATCATGGGGGCTCTGTGGGCTGTCTTGGGTGTTCTGTGGGCTTATTTTGGCTTTCTTTGGGCTTATTGTGGGTTCCCCTCAGCTTCAGTTCGGATTCCGTTTGGTGTCCCTTTCAGTTGAGCTCGCATGCAGCGAGCTAAGTCTTGCAATGGTCTATGGCCAATACACCCAGACATGGGACCCATTGCTTTCTTTCGAGGATTCCCTTTGGCGGGGAACATGTTTGCATGGAGGCAGACGCCATTTGTCAATTTGCCATCAATTCGCCTAGCTTTCGTATCCAGCAAGCACGGCTAGTCACACGAGTCACATCAGTCTTTTTGCCATATTAATATGGAGTCAACACGTCTTTCTGCATGATCGCGGGTGCTCAGGGAATTGCAGGTCTTAGTTGGTAGATTCCTGGTAGATGTGCTCATTAGTTCGCCTGCAACACCAACACCCCCCCCCCCGGCTGAAAGAAGCAAGAACAAAGACAAACAAAACCAAAACACAAAAACTGGCCCCAGCACGCTACAATCCCAGGCAAGGTGCAAGGTAGCAAGCGACGAGTAGTTGGAATTGCTGTGTTGGACCCCATGTCTTGCAGCCGTCTCCCACAAGTCTTTGGCCCATCGGGCGGCGTCAGGGTCGGCTGAAATCGAGCATGCGTGCCTCACCTGCCCAAAGGACCTGGAAAAAAGCTGGCTAATTTTTTGCGAAATCCAGACACCCCCGCAAAGGTCGATTCAATAACCAAACATGTGTCAAAATCGCAACACCCCAGACCAACCACGGAGAAAACAAAAAAAAAAAATGTACGGCTTGAAGAACTTCCCAAGGTCGATGTTGCCAAGCTGCAGCGCAGAGTTCAAGACGATACTGCCAGTGACCGAGTCCCAGCCATCGAACGCGGAGCCATCGAATGCCTCCCGCGCCAAAGCAAAGACTTGGCGCCGCCTGGCCTCTTGCACTGAGCCTCGTTCACCACTGGCGCACCTGACACGGACACAACCAATGCTTTTGGCCACGCCCAAAGAACGGGGGAAAAACAAGAGAAATAAGGGGAGGTGGCATCCCCGACAGCAACAACATGTGCAACCAGGGCATACATAAATGGTGACACTGGTGACAGGGGTGCTGATGTTTCCCCCTCACACCTAATCCTGCGACCGAACACCCAAACGGCCCAAACGGCGCGAACCATGTTGGCCCCTACGCCGGCGCTCCCTGAACGGCATCCCAAAACGAAAGCAAACGGCCAGCTCGGCATTCATTTCGCCCACCTGGCCAAGGCCGTCAAGTAGATGCTGACCTCAGGGAGCTCGATGGACGGCTTCCAGACTAAACTCACCCATTTCTGAACCAGGTTGAGTTGTTCATGTCCAAAGCCTTTTGGCTTTAGAAAGAGGACCAAGCAAGGGCTGGTTGTTGAAACATACGGGCGCGTCATTGTTTGGGACCTCCAAAACATATTTTTCGGTGTTCTGTTTGGTTTCCTTTTCAAAACCAACCAAAAGGGTCCCCTCAAGAAAAGCCACCCCCTTATTTTGCCCTGACCTGCACAGGTCCCAACAAGATCTTCTCCTTCTTCTGCAGGCTTCGCGCCCTGAGCAGCGCATCCCAAAACCTGCCCTGCTCGCAACGCTTCATGGCGGCGCCGATGACTGTCGGGTCCAACTTGCCTCAAGTTCAGCTTCCCTCAAAAAGGTCCTGGTTGCCCTCCCTAAGGATTACCTGACCATGGCATCTTGTCGAACAAAACATATTGCAGCCCCCCGACTCAAAATCGACATGATCAGAGAAGACAAAACTGAAAAGCAGACCAAGAACAACGAAGTCGCCTTCTGCCGCTGCACGCTCCAAGTGCTGCAACAAATCCTGGTCACCAAAAGCTCAGGTGGGCCAAATGCGCGGCAACAGGACAACCGGGAGGGGCGAGGCTTGCGTTGTCTGGGCCGAAATATCTTTGATGGACAATTAGGGGTCCGCTCCTGCAAGAGGGTGTTTATTCTTGGAAGGGGCCAGAACCATGGAACCATGGCATTGCTTCCGATCCACACACATCCGTTTTTGATCAACCGTCTGAAACGGAGCAACTATGGTATGGGCACGGGAGTCCCATGAAGAGGTCCTTGGACGAGATCAGCAAATTAGGACAGGCACTAGGCTCTTGATGTCGAATCTGCTCAAGGGTATCCATGGACGCCCCAAGAAACGCAAGGGAAGGCACAGGCCTTCGTTTGGAGAACCTCACGCCATCTAGGCCCCAGCGCACACGCTGTGGGAAAAAATGGACACGCCCAGAATGGCGGTGCGTTGTGGCAAATACAAAGTCGGTGTTTTGAAGGAAAAGCCGAGGGCAGCCGGGGTCTATTTTGGGGGTTGCCAAACCTCCTTGCCATGGCGACTCAGTGTCAAGACTCGGATGCCGTGTCTTACTTGAATCCTGCCCGTATACGTCTCATCCTAAACAGTTTGGCTTGCAAGGGTGAAGAGAAGGTCAAAAAGGGAACCCGAAGCGCAAGAGGTAAACCCGACCTTTTCCAATCCCCAATCAAAAGGGAAATAGATCAAACACAGCCAGGTAAAAAAAAAAAGAAAGAACGAAACGAAGGGGGGCCCGTCCAAACAAACACACCGCACGAGACAAAAAGAGAGAGAGAGAGAGAGAGAGAGAGAGAGAGAGTGCGAGAGAGAGAGAGAGAGAGCCAGAGACGCACTTCAAAATGACCCAAAGTTTGAAAGCACTTGAAAGTTAAGCCTAGGGACCCCTAGGGCCAAAGAATTCAAAATGTCACGCTTCGGGACATATCAAGACGCGCAATTTGGGTATGGGTCAAAATGAAACCAGCAGACAAACCGCATGCTCCAGTCTTTGGTTCCATTTACCCGGGTCCCATGTTGGGGTTCCGATTCTTGCCCTGCCATTTCTCTCGCCGATCCATGGCTCGTCCTGGGGGTACTTGCTGAGCTGCAGCTGCTTGCGAACTGCCGCCGTCGCCTTGGGGCCTGGCTCTTGCGTGGGGGCCGGGATGAAGTTGGACTGCGACCTGCCCAGTCGCCCCGTCCTGCGCAAAGCGCAGGCAGAAAAAGCCTTCAAGTTGGTCATAGCGTGGCCTGTAGCATGCACTTGTACTGGCATGTGTCGAATGGAATGCTGGGTCCAGCAAAGTAACGCCCTCAAACTGTTCCAACAAATGGTAGTTTGAAGGAAAACCACTCCCAAAAAGTAATTTGCCAAGCCCTTCAAAATGCTCACGTTGAGGGACGCAGGAATAGTCAACGTGTCTTGCAGCTTCCTGCTGCACCATTTTGGATCAACCTGATTTGATCTGAAATCCAGGCACCTCTGTCCGGCACAAGCCTGGAATCCTTGACTGAAGACAAGCGCTATGGTCATGTGGTGCCCTATGAGCTTCACCAATGGTGGTAGCCCAGGGCTCCCTACACTTCCCGGAGCATCACGCTCACCTCTCATGGCAAAAACAAGGTGATGTGTAAAATCCCCAAGGGAAATAACTCGGGACCCCTGTACCCTGTGGCAGTGGTATCCCATGGATATGTTTTCACCACCAGTAAAGCCAGCGAAGCCCGCGGAAGTGTGACAAATACAAGGAACTGTTGCCGTGGGAGCACGCCTCTCGCTCTCTCCTTCTCTTGTGCTTCTTTCCCTTCTTCTGCTGTTCTCTTTATCTTCTTCTCCTCCTTCTTCTTCCTTCTCTTCTGCTGTCTCCCTCTCTCTCTCTCTCTCTTTATCTTCTGTCAATTCTTCATTTTCTTCCTTCTCTTCCGCTGTCTCCCTCTCGCTTGCTTTCTCTTCGCTCTCTTTCACTTTCTCTTTCTTGATATCGTCAAGCCTTTCTCGTTCTCTTCCTCTCTTCCTCTTTCTTACTTATCTTCCTCTTTTTCTTGCCCTTTCTCTTTCTCTTTCCCTGTCATTCTCTCTCTCTCTCTTCTCTCTCTCTCTCTCTTGTTCTCTTCCTTCTCTTTCTCTCCCTTTCTCTTTCTACTTCTCTTCAGCCTTCTCTTTGTTCCGTGTTCTCTTTCCGCCTCCCTTTTTGCTTCTTGTTGAATTATTTTTCTCTCTTTCTCTCACGTGTGTGGCTCTCCCGTTTTCTAGGCCCCCTTAGTTTCTTTACGCGCAAGCGCATACATTCTCAAAGAAAGCGGCCGAGTTAGTGCCAGTACCGATTCTAGCCAACTTCCTTCGGCTATAAGTCACCAACAGGAATCCCAAAGTAGGCGACCTTCATGCGCGTGAACTAGAGCACTTGCAAATTTTCTGTAGAATTGTCTCCTGGGTGCTGGCGAAGGGATCTAGAAGAATTAAGCACTGTTCATCTTGCCTTCCTTTGCTTGGTTGACGTTGGAAGGGGAGCATCAATTTCAGTTTCAGCGGTTAAGTGGTTGGATTTCAACCACTCAACCACAACAAGCAAAAATGTTTCCAATGCTTCCCGACAACAACCATGTTGCGGAGGTTAGAATAAGGGTACCCTTTTTCTGTAGTCCATTTTGGTAGGGGAACCCTCCCCACCAAAAAAGGGTCAAAGGGCCTCTGGGGGAAGTTCCGCCAGCTCCTGCCAGGAGAAAGGAGATCCTCCCGAGGCCGCGTGAGCAGCTTCTGCTGCAGCTGCTGCGAGGTGTGCTCGGGTCTTGCGTGGATCCAGCGCCGGCCTGGGGGTCCTCCAGTCTTCACAGGTTAGCTTCCAAAGCAAGCTCAAGGCTCATAAAAATAGGTCCAGTAGAGAGGTTAGAAGAAGGGCAGCCTAGTAGGGGAACCCCCCCAACCAAAAAAGGAACGGTAAAAAAGGGCACCTAGCCGGGGGACCTAGTTGTTCCTTTTGGTTCAGGAAGCCCCGTGACTGGTTTGAACCACTTTTTGCACCTCAGTACCACACAAAGTTGTTGCTCAACTTCCTTTGGCTGTAGGTCGCCAACCGTTACGAAGAAATTCCAAGGTAAGCGCCCTTTCTGCGCGGAATGGTTCGTTTTCCGCCCTTTTTCCGCGAACTCCCCTGGCCTTTACGCCAAAAGCCCAGCAGGAAGCCGCGAGTAGGCATCAGCTGGCGCAGGTACACCATCGCGAGTCATGGGCCCGCTGCCACTTTGTGCGATCCGGCAGAACAAGGCTTCTTCTGAGGCGTACACCGGGGTGATAGGAGATGGCATTTTTTGCTGGCAAGTTCGCCAACTTCTCTTCAGCGTGATTGGAAGCTTCCCCCTAATCCCCCAGGCGGAAGGGAGGGGGGGGGATGAAAACAACATGAGGGGGTTTTGTGGCATCTGCGGTCACCAACTGCCTTTTGACATTCAGTCATGCGAGTTGCTGCTGGCCAAAGACATGATGCAGGACTACCTTAGCTGCTGCCATAGGGTGCTGCCTCTCCATTAGCGTGCTGCGAGCCGTGTACAACTGGGACTCCAGGATTGAGGGAAATCAGCCCGGCACTCCCTTTAGGTTGGTTTTCCAAAGGAAAGGGCACAAACCTGCGGTCCACAAACTTGAGTCAAATCCTGTCACCATATCAAGGGCACAGTGATCCAATGCAACCCGGAGCTCAGCTTTTTGAGATTTGAGTCACTTCATGCAGTCACCCTCGTAGGATCGTAGGATCTCGTAGGGATGTCAACTCCTCAGAGTCGAAAAGACTCGCGCCTTGTCTGGCTTCAAACCGCTGATGCTGGTCTGATTTATCATTATCAGACCAGCACAGTCCATGCAGCTAGTCCTTCAGCCATGCAGAGCAGTTCGAAGAGCGGAATTTGCTTTCCACCCCCCTGTTTTCTTTGCCCCTGGCCTTTGGCTTTGGGCAACAAACACTTGTCTAAACTCGATCCAAGTGTTCAAATTGGCCATTGGCCAGCCCAAGCTGTTGAAAGGGTAACACGGGCGAAAGGTGAACTGCAAAAAACCCAGCGGATCTGAGAACCTCTTGACAGCTCGCACGGAAGGTGCCCGGCTGAAAACTCCAGCGACCAAAAGTAGGGCGAAACTTGGGCCAGTGACCCTAGGGTGGTTGGGCAAAACATGTGGAATCAAGACCGTGAACTCCGCTCCTGACTGCTGTGCCAAGGCTTCTCTGCAGGCACAATGTTGCTCCTACATGAGTCGCTCTGGTCAAGATGCAAAAAGCTCTGCTGGCTTGGCTCCTGGCCGCATGAGGGCTTTGCTCTATGTAGCTATGTTACGCGATGTCGGCCAGGAGGCGCATGTTGAAAACTGGAACCAGTCGTGTCGCAATTTAGGCGATACAACTGCGAGCGGGCACGGGTCAAACAATGTAACAATCTTGGCGCAGAAAAAGACATCTCCACAGCTGCAACAACCGCAAATGCAGTCCATATAACGCGTCGCAGCTGATTGGAAACAAGGCAAGAAACACAGTGAGGACGTATCTGTTTTTGCCAAGTGAGGTATCTCCAGCGCTGCGTGCCGTTCTGACAGAAAATTCAGGCTCATGCCTTCGTGACGAATTCTGCGTAGTGGCTTCACATCTAAGATGTGCGCGTTAGCGGCGCCCAGCAAACCTTTAGCTTGGCAACTTAGAGACAGCCCTTGGGTCCTGCAAGCGCGACGGCGGGCCGGGGGGGAAACCCCTGAAAAATAAGTAGGCAAGAAACCAAATGCCATCCTCCCGTTAGCCTTCCTGAGTCCTTTGGCCTCTCCGGAGCACACAAGCTTTGAGACCCATCGGTCAAGCGCAGGTTGCGGGCAGATCTTGCAGAAGTCTAGGGCGGCATCGCCACCCTCCCCCCAACAATCATGAAAGCTGACAGGAGGGTTTTGAAGACTGCTATTTCCTCTTGAGAACACCTCCTGTACTTCCATACTTGTTGGAAAAGGGGTACGCCCACGTGAACATAGAGCTGTCCAACTGGCGGCTCTCGGGAAGTTACCTCAGTTGTCAAGTGCACCTCTTCAGTGCACCTCTTCACTCAAGCAAGGCCGGTGCAACTTGCATGATTTTTTCCAGTTGGTAGCGTCAAAGCTAATGAATTACTCATGGTACAGGGCCACTTGAAGGGTCCGGATTTGTGGCTGTGGGCGTGTGCGTGCCCAACCCCCCAACTCAGGTTCAGACCTATCTCAATGAGCCAGCCTCAGCGCGAGCCACAGTCAGCCCAAAAGCGTCGCTTCGCTCGTCCATATCATCAGGGACAAAAGAAAGGGCGAGGCTGCATATCACGACCGGACCTGCACACAACCCTCGGTGATCATGTCGCCTACTTTTTGGTGGTACGCCAATGGTCATTTCAATTGGAGAACAAACTTCCAGTTGCTTAAGCCCCTTAGAGGATTTCCAGTAATGATTGTTACCCTTGAACACCCAGGGGGAAACCAAGCATATCCTCAAGCAAATGGAAGCTAAGAGGAACCCAAGAAGAACCAACCATTTTTGGGGGCCCCGTTTAAGATGCAAGGCGATCTGAGCGCCCTGCGGATGACCTCAGATGGCAAGGCTCAAAGGAAACCTTCGATAAGTCGAGGGCGTGTCAACAAGGGCCCCCCTTTTCGGTACCCCTTGTAAATGGCGATGCAAAGCAGTGTGGGTTCCCCGCATTGCTCTTTAACCCGAAAGGAACCTCACTTTAAATTAGCCTTTCCAAAAGGTGTCTTTTAAAAACATACCTTCAAGGGGAAGATCGATTGAGAACTATGCAAGACGCAAAATGTATGTCATATGAACTACAAAATCAAACAGGAATCAACAGCACTTGGCTCTCGCAACCCCTCAACACCCGTGTCCCCGTGCCCAGAAGCAAGCTTCCACCCCGTAATTTCTCCGGCCCTTGCTCTCAGATTCAGCCCAGCACAATTCAGTCCAGCCAAAAGTTGCACGCGCCTGAGCCAGCACTCTTGTCTGTAGCTTGGCCCTCCAGGAGCCCCGCCTCTTGCCCGCAAATCAGCAGACCGCAAGTGCCCGATGCCGCCAAAGATGACGCACGCACCTCTGGCAAGTGGTAGACATAGCGCCGGCCCTTGATGCAAAGTTCCGGGCTGGTCACGCTCACGTCGATGGGGAACTAGCACGGCATAGGCACATCGTCCCTTCCAGCCCTAGCTCAAGCGCTTCAGCCCACCAGACTGCTCAGCCCCGCCGGCATCATGTGCTCGGGTCTGCATTGCTCATAATATGGTTCTTTTGAGCGTGGTCGTGGACGCGTTTACAATTTTAACAGCAAATGTAAAGTTTATGATATGTATGATTGGGGGTAAGTTCAACGAATCAAAGCAAACGTGTGTTCTAAAACTACTAGGCCGCTCTAGAGAAAGTCGGAAGATGGGAACGAGCCCGTTCTGTCCGCAATTTAGTGAACCCTGCAAAACAGAACAAGGCTCTGAAGGCTCAAAACGGCGGACCCCGCTTTGTTTAGTCACAGGGATACCCTAGGGACCACTATTTTAACTGGGCCAGACTGCCCTGCGGCAAGTCAGCGCGTTGCTTGCTTAAAGGGGGGGAGGAAGAAACAAACAAAAAGGAGAAACGTGAAAAGGTCAGTCTTGGGCCTGTGAGAAACACCCGCATGGGTTTGTCTCAAGGTTGGGGACCCTCCAATTGGTGGTTTGCCTTTCGTTCCTTTTCTGAAAAGGGCACCCTCGAAACCGATGCGCCTAATTGTATTGAAGACAGCTCCTCTGCGAATTGCACGCTAGTTCCCAAACTTGGAATACGGGATTCCCAGACAAAGGGCCTGCCACGCTTCTTGTGATGGCCCGCCCCGCGCCGAAGCTGAAAGCCAAAAACATAAGATGTAGACAATTGGTACACCGCGCTCAAACCGAGGGCATACGCAGTGTGAATCGCCTTCAGCAAACACGCGTCACCGAGCGATCCACGGTACAGCCCCGGAAACTGACAGAGTGCAAGTGTTTGATGGGTTGTTGGTTTGCATCAGGATTTCCTTCCAATGCACTAAATCGTGCAGGAAGATGTCATCACGGTATTTGCCGGTGATCGCCATGCGCGGGTGATGTCAGCAACACTTCTCTTGCGACTGATTTGCGAGGCATGATTGCCACCCTTTGCTCGGAACCTTGCCAGGTTTCCTCCGTTCGCGCCGCCAAAACCAAGACCGAAGCTCGCAGCGAAAGCAATGGTGAACACGCAAGCTGCGTGAGCTCGCGAGACCGACACACGGTGCACAGAGATCAAGATCCGGACCTCTTCTGAGTGTGTAAAAGAAAGACCCACACGTGGTGTTCCAGAGTCCTTCCAAGATCGAATGTCATGGCACCTGCGGCGAAGTACCCCATCAGGGCCGCTAAATCTATACATCTGAGCCGAAACCCTCCCAAGGACCTACATCATGTTCGGCTTGTTCAACCAGAGCTCGCCATAAAAGATTGGCAGACCCCTATCCATATACCTCCGCCGCGCCCGCAGGCAACGCCGAGGCAACGGCGCGTGCGATCCTTGGGACACCAGGACCTGATCGGGGCTGAGATGCGCGAGCGATCAACATGGTGAAGTCTACTCCCCTGCAAAAGGTGGTGTCACCCAAAAGGTGTCTCCACTACAACTAGCGGCTTTTGGGTTTCATGTTCATCCGAAGCGCTGCACTCAAAATGATTGGCTGGCTTTCGGTTTGCCTTTGAACCAACCCAGAAAGGCTTTGTGGAGACTCCCTGTCCTGAATCCCAAATGAACAAAAGAATGACATGACTTGGCTATGGAAAACCAATGGTACCAGCTTGGGGTAGGCGCGCCACCCATTTTGGTCTATTTTAGTGGGGATTGGGATGTTCACTAAATCAAATATCCCAACCAAAGGGCCCTTGATCAAATATCCCAACCCACCTCGCGCCCTCCCCCTGTAAGTTGCGGCCTCTGCAGGCTCGCCCTGCGGGGCCTGCCAAATGGGCGGAAGTGCAGCACTTTTCGGAGCTGCGATCCCTGCTTTCTAAGGGTTTGTGTATTACACCCTGGGGATACACCCGCTGGGTATTGACCCCATTTAAGCACATTTCCGGATAAAGCCGTGCTATTTTGAACCATTCTGGATAATTTCCCAAGGGTGTAGTCCCAGGGTGTAATACAAGAAAAACCCTCAGAGGCTTGCTGCTTCTTTCTGAAAGGGAGGCTAAGGGAACATCAGCCGCTCACTCCGCTTACTCCAGGCACCTTCA